GAAGTCTGGGCACAGTTTTGTGCCATCGCGCAGCGTTGCTGCAAACTCAGTCTTCGATGGCTGTGACGACTGAGAGGGCTGCTGCAACTGCTGCCCTGAACGCTCACGCTTCGCAGGCGGAGTGGGAGGCACACTCGGCTCCCGGGGCAACGCCGGGGCCGTCCAGTGACTGTCACGCTCTCTCATGATCGTGAGGATAACAGTCCCCAGAGAGCTGGTGCCCATAGCGAAGCGCTGCGCCCACTCGCCGCGCTCCGCTCGATCAAGGTTCTCCAGGTAGGAAAGGCGACTCCCTTCCCCCAGATCACCCATCAGCTTCTCGCACCTGTGCCAGTACTGGAGCAACACGCTCAGAGGCACCTGCACGAACTCCGTGCTGCGCTCGGCTGTCTCGATCCCTGCCGGGGCTGGCTCAATGGGCGAAGCACCTGCGATGGCGAGGGAGTACATGTAGAGGCGGAGCTGGATGAGGTAGGAGTGCCACCCCTGACCGACCGAGGCGTCGTCCTCATCCCCTTTCTCGGCCAGGTAAAGGGAGTCTCCCACCTTGCGCTTGCGTGCTGACCCCGAGGTTCGCTGATTCATCACGGACCTCAGATCCCAAACGTTCACGACATCCAGCGTCCTTTTGGTGATAGCGCGGTAGGCCTTCGTCACCCATTTGTCGGAAGGGGTAGCTTCAGGGGGCATGACAACATGGTACCTCTTCCAGAACGCATCGCGGATGTTGGAGAGCTGAGGGGACGGCAACACGTCCTCCTCCTCCAAACTCACGCTCACGTGTGTGCCCTTGTCCTCCCTCTGCTGCTCAGCTTGGCAAACGGCATTCCAAGCTTGGCGGAGCCGCGCACGCTGCAGAGGTTTATTTGTAAGGGCACCTTCGACCGGCGTGAAGAACGCTGCCAGGAGCTCGTCGTCAGTGTTCACACAAAGTAGCGAAACTCCGACAACGTTGTAACTCCCACCTTCAGGATCTGCTCTTTGATCTGGTCCTCCAGCTTGAACTTCTGGGCCAGCTCCTCGAAAATCTGCTCCTTAGTAGCCATGGCGCAAAAGGTTAGAGTCTAGGGGGACTACGGCACCTGCTACTCAGAAACGGCTACGGCAATTGCGAGTAAAACCTCCCTCGCACTCTCCACTCTGCAACGTACAGCTCGGAGTGACTTTTCCCTGGTGCTCCGACCGGATGTTTATACTGCCTTCACACTGAAATCTACCACTCGCGCAACAGCTGGGTCAACACCCGAGCAACAGCGTGGGCCTCCACAACTCCGGGTGCCCGGTCGGGATGAAACACCAGCAGCAACTGCTGGAAGAACCTGCGGCGACTCTCAGGGGTAATGTGAAGGGCCATCATGTAGAAGGAGAGCAGCAGGATTTTCGTGTACGGGGACTCGAACGGGTCATCCAGGGCTTGCTGCAAAGCTTGAGGGATGACCGGTGGCACGGTGACTCGAAAAGTGTGCGTACGGGGCGGCGGAGCTGAGCGCGGTCTCGCACGCCTACCATAACCCTGGTTGGTCTGCTCCCGGTGCCTGGCATCACACCCCCGGCTGTGGCCCATGAGGTCACGACACCTTCCGCAGCAATAAAGGTGACCTCCGTACGCCAAGCGATTGTATCCCTGTGTTCCACACTGTGCCATGGTGTGCCAGAGGGGGGGGGCTGTGAGCTGAAGCAAAACTGAAAAACAACAACATGGACATGCACTCAAGACACACCAAGCAACGCGCATCGGGCTTCCTTTTTGGCGCAAAGATACCTGATCGAATCAGAGGGCTCGGGGCCTAAGTTACAGGAGGGCCTGCACTTTGGCAGGCAGCATAGTTGTACACACCCGGCACCACGGGCGTCCCCAGCCAATGGCCTCAAGCGCATCGCTGCACACCCAAGGTGTACCGCGGAAAAAGGAGGCCACATTCGATCGTGCTTGCTTCCAACAGCAAGCGGGCTGGAGGCGGTCTGGCGAGCAACCCTCAGCCACCGCATGGATAGATGCTCCGCGCTGCTTACCACACGCAAACTGCAACGGCAGCTTCACTGTGGCTTGCGGGGCAGCCCTGGAGTCGGTAGCGGCACGAAGCCACTTCCCAACGTGGCCGGTGCGCTTAAGAACTCCCTCGGGCTCAACTGCCCGGAGGGTACGGATGTGCCCGACTGCATCGTCCCAAGAGCACCGGCGCATGAAGCCACAAATCATCCCTGCAACACAGGGAGCTCGGTGGACTCCCGCCATGCAATGAACGTAGATGGACTCCCCGTTACGCAGGGTGTTGATGATGCATGGCTTGATTTGCCCCCAATCATCATTACGAGACGGCTGGTGAGTAACGACCAGGTTCCTGAGCAACACTCGGGGTGGCACATACCCGCCTTTGTCTCGCAACGGCTCTCGAAAACAAGAGATGACGAGGCCGACGTTGAAACGCGTGAACAGTTGGCTGTCACGTTCATGAGGGAGCCCACCGAGGATCAACACAGGCGACTCCTGCTCCGCGATAAAGCGGGCCACCACCGTGGGCGGCTCAGGCCGGTCCCCGTGGCCAGGACGAGCCCAGCGTTCCCGGCCCAGCGGGTCGAACAGCTCCTCAGCTGTCTCCACCCTCCTGGGAGGGGCATCCGAAGAGGAGGCGGCTTCGGATACACGCAGGGCCGGCTCAACTGCCTCAACCCGTGGACGCTTGGCCGGAGCTCCACTGCTCGTTGAGGGCTTGGCCTTGGGCATCTTCTTCGTCATAATCTTGGGAGCGGGAGCCGGCAACTCCGGCTGGGCCAAGGGGAGACTCACAGCTGGCACAGCTGGCTCCTCGCGAGGCGGTGGCCCATAGCCAGGCCACTCTGGCTGAGGTGGCGTACGGGGCTGCCCGGAAAGCCCTACTCCCTTTCGAGGCTTCCTCGCCTTCTTCTTCGCGACAGGCAATTCTTGAAGCGGCCGAGACGCCGCGACACGGCGCTGGTGACGAAGAATAAGGGCTGCAACCTGAGAACGCACCCTGATGCCCTCCTCCTTACGCAGCCTGTGCGGCCCAACCCAGGCGTACACTGTATCCTGGCCTTCCTTAGGAAGGGCAGCTGCTGCTTCCTGGGCTCTGGCCACCGAGGCGGTGAGGATCTCGGTGTCGACGGAGGACCATGTGTGTACCGCCTGGTCCAAGATCAGCGCCTTTAAGGAAAACCTCAAAACATGCTTGATCTGCTGGGCCTGCCTCTGCTTGGCTCGGTGATAGCGCCAGGGCGTGACGTTGCATCCTTTGGACGTAGTGTCCAGCCAGTTGCCCATTGCGCAGACCGCGGAGGTCTCGAACCCAGCCAGGAAAGCAAGGGTGACAGGAAGCTCCCGCCAGCTTTTTGAAGAGATCTTGGCAGCATCCCCCTCCTCAAGAAGCGGAGCCATCGCCAGCGACACCATGCTCCGGATAGTGGCTGGCGGGATCTCGTAGCCATTGGTAACATTAAACCCCACACATTCAATATCGGCCGGGGCCAACCGCTTGGAGAGTGCCTCCACGAAATAACCGCCAAAGTCCAGGTCAGAGATCACGCTGAACCTGGGGCAGCTCCAGAGGAATCCCGCACGCAGGTGACGCTGCTTTCCGCGCAAACACTCCCAGTACATGGTATGGGCGTCCATGCACAGCAGCCTGCTCCTCTGCACGTGGATCAATCTCACGCATCCCAGGGCCTGGCACCATGTGGCGTAATATGCCAAAAAGTCCTCGTGGTGATTCTCGTAGGCCTGCTGCAGCGTAGCCTCCAGCTTAACCAACATCACGGGCTCAGCAGCTGGAGCTTGCTTGGCTCCATGTCCAACGCCACCTGCGCTGGCTTTGCGCATGCTGCTGGCCAAACCCAGGTCGACCCAGGTGAAGCCTCTTAGTCATGAAGAAGAGAGCCCCCTCGACTGGGCGCCGGAGTTCATGACAAACGACGCCGCAGCTATGGCGGTGAGGCTGTGCGCGGGGAGGTCGTGTTCTTCGCAGAACTGCTTGAGCTCTGTCCAGGTGCGACACACCTTCTGGAGTGTGCCTCTCCGTGCCCCGCAACACGGGCAGCAGCACCTGGTTCACGATCCCTTCAACGTCATGCCCCTGCAGCTGGCTCGCATACTTGCTCCCGGAGATAAGGATATCACGGAGCACCGGCTTGAACTGCTCGTTGGACTCCAGGAGCGGTGCTGCACTGGGGCGGCCAGGCGCAACTCGCTTGACACGGGGCAAGGCAGATGAAGGTTTCACAGCCGACGGCGCAACAGCCGTGGAAGCCCTTGGTCCCTCAACTGGGACAGTAGGAAGGGCGTCTGAAGCTTGCTTGGCATAGAGGTCGCGAACCTTAACTGCCAGACCTCCCCGGCATTCCTGGGATGCCACCTCCCAGGCTGCTGCCACTTCCGGGCCAGCAGCTTCAAGGGCCTCTGCCCTGTTCATGAAAAAGAACGCGAGCTCCTCCCGAGTCTCGATACCGTTCGCAGCCATGAACACCTCCATTCTGCAACACAGAATGAAAAAAAAAGGAAACTCCTGCGACTCAGGTGATCCAGTGTTCTGTTGGCTATTTTGGCTTGAGAGGAAACGGCGGCGGATGCACATGTATGCTCAAGCGACAACATGTGCAGCACAATCCAAAATGCACTCAGATAATGATTTCAACTCACCAAGCCTGCCCGAAGCACTAAGTTGGACAATTGCCATTTTGAATGGTTTTCCATTGGAAATATTAAAAAACACATAGCTTGTTTGCTGTTTTCAATGGTTTTGTGCGTGTGTTCCGAGCCTGCTCCCGCACAGGAACCACTCGAAGAGCCCGACCGCGAGGCTGTTTTGGCTGAAGAAAAAAGGACCAAGGCCCGTGGAGGGTCGTTCTGGGGGTCGTTTAACTCCTAAGGTCTGGTTTACATCATTGTTTGGGTCTAAGATCACACGTAGGTTATCAGCCGTAGGCTCTAGGACTAGGCCTGTTGGATAGTCCGGGGTTTTAGGTTAAGGGGCCTCCCGTGCGAAGCGATGGACCGGATGATCCGTCGGAGAACGGGAGCTTCAGAGGGAGACCAAGATCACGACTATGAAACAGCCTTGGGTCAAGGAGCATCAGAGGGCAGAGCTCATGCTACTCCTTCTGTTATCCACCGAGGGGAAGCCTCACCTGGAATGCTGCAAGCTAGCGCTCTGGGGAATGCGGGGGAGCTACCGACAGCTCACCCGTTCTACAGTGAGAGGGCGCGAGATGAGATTGCGCTCATGCGGCAGCGACCTAGCACTCTGGACGAAGACCAGGCTCGGGTGAACGCCGAGATGGGTTTTTCTGAGGTGGCCGCGGACAAGGAATGGTTTCCATCCACCGGTGAGGAGGTTGGAGACCCGAAGGAGCCTGACTATGGGAAGGCTTTTATGGGGGCTTCTGGACCAGGAAGTTCCGCAATGAGCGCTCCTCGTGTTGCTCGGATTGAGCCGACGACGGGCTCATCTCCGGGTCTGGGTGAGCGACGAGGACTGGCTGTGGATCCTACGGAGCCGGCTCAGAAGAGCGGAAGGGAGGATGCCGTTGGACTGGATCTGAAGACTACTCAAGGTTCAGGGCCGAACAGTCAGGATATGGCGGCTGCTACCGAGGGTGGCGGTGAGGATTATCCAGAACTGATACCGGCTGAGCCGGACCGCTTGGCGAGAATGGAATTGCTGTTGGGTCAGGTGATTGAGGAGAACAAGAACTTGAAGCGCCAACTGCAGTCGGAATCCCACTCCTCTTGGCATAGTGCGAGGACACCTCAAGAGGCGCCTATGTCTCCGGCCTCTTTTGGTCTGAGTAGACACTTTCCTGAGGCCCCTCCGGGCTCGGTCGTAGGTGTACAGCCGCTTGATACGTACGAAGTGCGAGAGTTCCCAGGTGCCTTGGGGAGATTGCCAGCAGGTGAGTATGGACCAAGCACAGCCGTGGGGCAGCAACACTCTCTTGTGGGAGCCAGGCCCCACCTTATGCATCCTATGGCTAAGTACGGTTTTGTTTCGGGCTCTTTGGAACCTAGGCCTCCGGGGATTGGGGATTCAGTGGGCTTTCAGCTTTGGCCTAATACCTGGGACTATGCTGAGACAGTAAGACCTAGGCCCCCCCCGTCTCCACACGTCCGTGCTATTGCTGAAAGTGCAGCTACGCCTCAGAGTTTGAGAGAGTTTGCGAGTGCAGCTCTAACTGCAGGGCTTGGTGCTGGAGATTCCGGACTTGCGGGGTTTCATACTTCTAGGTCGGGTCTTGGTGTTAAGTTCGATTCTGAGGGCTATCCGGTCTCGCCGGGAGGGACCAGCATCAAGCCTCCAGCAGGGCCGCCGCCGGTTTCACCTCGGAGTGCGCCTGGATTGGGGATCACTGGGGACCTAGGCTCAGGTTCAGGGAACTTAGGGTATGGGACTCAAGAGGGCCTATCAGGGACTCCGCGAGGGTTGGAGCTAGGGAATGTTGGGGTTCAAGGTTCGGTTTCCTCAGAAAGGCCCGAGGAGCCGGCTAAGTATATTTCGGAGCTCCCTAAGTTAGTGCAAGCTGATTTGTCGAGCAGTGCGATCGTGTGTGGGAATTGGATTGCCCAGGTTAGACAGATCTTTCAGGGCTTGTCGCCCTCGGCTGGGGTATGGTTCTCGGCGGTCGAGCGGGCGGCTAACACGGGGTATAGTCGGTGGTTGGTTGCTGATCCACTAGGAAGGTTAGCGATCGACCCTGCTAGCGTAGTTGCGAGTTACGACGTGGTAAAGTACCAGCGAATCGAAAGTAGGGCGGTGTCTCTTCTGTTGGCGGCCGTTCCTGCGGGGCTAAAGGAGGACATCGTAGTGAACAGATGGCTGTCGTCGGCTGCCATCTTGTTTCGAATCTTATGTACTTATCAACCTGGCGGTAGTAATGAACGCGCCCACCTGTTAGGACAGTTGGTCACCCCCGACGTGTGTCGTACTTTTCCTGATGCAGTGCGTATCTTAAGGAAATGGCAGCAGTGTCTGTTACGCGCAGGGGAAATACACGCGACTCTTCCTGACGCCTCTCTCTTGCTAAAGGGAATTGATAACTCCACATCGGGTCTCTTGAGCGGAAATCCTATGGTGGGGTTCAGGGTTAGCGCCTATCGGCATGGGATAGCCCTGGATTTTAACCCTACGGTTTCGGGTGTAACCCAACTGGTGAGATTGTTGCAGGCGGAAAGTGAAGCCATTTCATTGGTAGAGTCGTCAGCGGCGGGTGATAAGAGAGCACGTACAGCGGCGGTGAATGCCAATAAGGATTCTCCACCGGCTAAGTCGCCCCCTACTCTCCCACCAGTTCCTCCTTCTAACCCTTCTGTAGCTGCAGTAGGTGTAGACGCGGCAGGGGGTAAGGGTGCTGGGAAAGATAAGGGTAAAGGTAAGGGTAAGTCTGGGGATGGGACTCTTCAGCTTTGCCACAAGTTTACGGATGCTTCAGGGTGCCGTTACGGGGATAGCTGTCATTTCAAGCACGACCGGGCAAAGGCCCGTCGCGAGTCACGTTGCCTGGCTTGTGGCCAGGCAGGGCATTACCGACCTGAGTGTCCTTTGGTTCCGGAAGAGCATAGGCAAACCTTGTCTGATCCAGGGTCCCCCACGGAAGCCCAGCCTAAGTCAGGTTCTCCTAAGGGTAGGCCGAAGGCTAAGGGGAAGGCAGGTTCCCAGGCCCAGGCGAAAGGGATAGTTGAGGATCCTGGGTCAGGCGGCGGAGGATCCGAGGGAAATCCGCCTGTGTCGTCGAGTGCCAGTGCTGTAGCCAGTCAAGAGAACCTTATCGCCGAAGCGGCGAAGCTACTTAAGAATGTGACATTGAAGGTTCTTAAGGTTGTGGATACAGGAAGAGGTGCCGAGGACTTGAAGGTTGATGGTGCCTGGCTGTTGAGTGCGATTTCGGGGCCGTCGGATGCCGGTTTTGCACTGGTTGACAGTGGTGCTACTAATGCGTTGAGGCCAGCGGAGTTGTGTTAATGTAGACTTGGCTAGTGGAGTGGCTGAGCTTAGGATCAACTCATGCGGTACCCTCCTTCATGCTGGACCTTGTCAGGTTATAATCCCTGCGGGTTATCTGATAGAGCTAGGTTGCACCATTGCTTGGAAGAAGAGAGGTTGTAGGATAAAGCATCCTGTGCGCGGGGTCTTGGAAGTTTCTGTGGTAAAGGGTTGCCCTCTGGTGCCTAAGGAAGTAGGACTAGGGCTTTTGGAGGAGTACGAAAGGCGTAAGGGGGTAGGAGTCAAGGTGAAGACCCTAGATGCGGTAGGACCGAGCTGTGAACTCCGCCTGGAGGAATCTCGAGGTTGGCTGGCGAGAAGGGTAGCTAACGTTGGGGTTCTCGGGTTAAGCGAGGTTGATCAGCTTACCTTTCTAGCGGGTCTGTTTTCAGGGGTTCCTACGGACCTACTCCGAGAAGTATGTGTTCCTCCGGTAGGAGAGAGTTCTGTAGATCCGGGCACTCTGCCTTGGAACAGGCGAATGAGACGTTCGGTGATGAGAGCAAAACCAGGGTCGGTGCTGCTGAACTTCTCGTCGGGATGTTCCGGGTGGAAGGGCTTAGGGTGTGTGGTGAATCTAAGGGGTTCTGATAAAGACCTTTTGTCTACTTCGGGTTTTGGGCAGCTGCTAAAGTGGGCTGAATCTGGAGTAGTTGGAGGAGTGATTCGAGGAGGCCTAGAGGCTTTTCAGGGAACTGCGCATTCGGGATCAGCCGCTACAGAAGGGTGGCAAGGGGTCCTTCAAGGATGTCGGGGTTCAGGATCGCTTCGGGATCGAGTCGTAGCGGAGCTCCGGGTGATGCTGGTGTTCGCGGTGGCCCAGGCGGCCATGGAAGCTAAGAGCCAAGTTTTTTCTGCGTTGTGTGCCGATGAACTGCGACAGGGCGTTGTGGATAGTACTGATTTCCACGAACCCCAGGATTTGGCAACTTGGGCGTTGAGAAAGGCAGCGGCTAAGCTAGCAGGCTCCAGTGGCGAAGCTACCGAGTCACTTCTTCCTGGGAACGGGGCATCAGTCTTTCTGGTGTACGAACGGAAAGGGGGACAAGATCCGGGGGAGTGGGCAGATCTGGCTCATAAGGAGATTGAGGCTTTTCAGAAGTTGTATCATCTCAGTAACTTGGAGTTCGATCAAGGCTGCTTTGGTAAGCTGGAAGTTGCTCCCACTTCGTTCTTGACCTCCTCGTGGTATCTGTTTGAAAGCTTGCATAGGGTAAGGGCTAATGATGAGTTACGGGATTTCCTTTCTGGCCTGAGGGACCTAAAGGGCTTGGTAGGGGATCAGGTGTCTAGGAGCTGGCCAACCGGTTTGCTTAAGCTAATCCAGGCTGCTTGGCAGGGTTGGCGTCAGGAACGTGAGCAGGCTGAGTTGATTCAGGAACGAAGGGTGTTGCTTGCTAAGCTAACGGAACAGGAGTCCTATGCTAAGCATGTAGCACAAGATCATGTTCCTTACCGTAAGGGGTGTCCGGTTTGTGTTAGTGCGCAAGGGCGCCAGAGACCCCATTGGCGTAGCTCGTTTCCAGGCCTACACTCCTTAAGTGTGGACCTTGCAGGTCCCTTTATTGATGGTGTGTCCTACAGTGAGGAAGCGAGCGGTCGCGATAAGGGCGGGGGGTACAAGTATATGCTTGTCGGAACCTATGCGGTGCCAGCGAATTTCTCTGACACCAGGGCCAAGGATTCGCCAGAGGGTGGTATTGGTAGTGTTCTTGAGGGCGAGCTATCGGACGGTGACCAGCCTGAGTTGGTGGCGCAGGAGGGCCCGAAAGACGATTCTGCTTTGTTGGATGAGCTATGGAATCTGCCAGAACCTTCGCAGGCGGAGCTTAAGGCGGTAACACATCGAGTCCGGGGTAAGCATCCAGAAGCAGAGGACGTTCCGCGTGAGCCGGAGCGGGAGAGCAGCATTAAGCATTACACTTTGTTTATGGGTGTACCGGTGCGATCGAAGCACGCTAAAGAGATTCTTCCCAATGTACAAGCTATGATCAATCGGCTGGAGGCGTCTGGGTTTCCGGTTCAGAGATACCATTGTGATCGTGCACAGGAGCTGAAATCGTCAGCCCTGCTCAGTTGGTTGAAGCATCAAGGAATTTATACAACGTTTACGGCCGGTGAGTGCCCGGCGGGCAACAGGGCCGAACTCGCAGTTCAAAACCTTAAGGGGGCGGTTCGTAAGCTACTCTTTGTGTCGGGTTTGGATAAGAGGTTTTGGCCGATAGCGGTGTTGCATGCGTCCGCGCGCTGCTGGATTCAGTTTAACGAGCGACTAGGGATCCCGCAACCAGTTTTGCTCCCTTTTGGCCTTCGGATTTTGGCGCGCCGAAGGGTGCGTACCGGATTCAATGCGCAATGGGAGCCGCGTGTAGCAGAAGGGGTATACCTAGGTTGTGCTCCGAATACTCCTGGTGGTCATCTGGTACTGGTAGGCGAAGGCGATGCTAGAAAGGTGTTGTTGACCAATACTGTGTACCCAATTCATGGGGATAAAGGGGAAATCGTCAAGCCTAAGTACCGGCTTAAGGATAAGTCTTCCCCGCGCTCCCCGAGTTTTGCCGTACGGGTCGTAGCAGCGAGGAAGGTGCACTCTTTTGCTCCAGCACGTCGGGCCAGGCGTACGCCTGGGGGGGAGTCTTTCTCTGATTTGGAGGATTTTTCGTCTTTCTCGGATTCTGAGGATTGTTCCACGGAGAATTGGGTTGTGGGCCAGGGGTCTGTTGAGTCGAATCAGGAAAGTAGCCTAGTCGAAGTTGAGCCTGCCGGGTGCGGGATCTTCTTGGCCTCTGTGGATGGGTTTGCGGATCCGGGGGAGTCGGGCTGTCTGGGTACATCAGAGGATGGGGTCCCCACGTGGATTAAAGATGCTCTGGCCTCTTTGGACTTCTCCGATGCAACTTGTTTAAGGGTTCTGGAAGAAGGCCTGCAAGGGATTCCAATTGCTAGTAGACCTATGATTAGACATGAAGGAAGGGCTGTTTTGTTGGGTCTCTATGGGGTTGGTGGATTCCGTGGTGTGTCTAAGGCCACTAGAGACTGTGGAGAACTGGTCAAGTACCTGAATGGGTTTGTAAGGTCAAGGAGTCCTGAGCATGAATGGTCGTCTTTGTACATCTCTAAAGACACGAGCACGCCTTTGCATAAGGACACAAGGAATGCTAAGGGGTCTAAAGTCTGGGTGAGGGCCTTGGGCGAGTTTGTGGGAGGAGGATTGTGGATTGAAGGGGAAAAGGGCTGTGGACCGGTTTATCGGGTGCTGCCAGATGGAAGAGCCCGAGGTGGGAAGGTACACGATGTTCATCAGGAACCAGCCATGTTTAATGGGGAACGGTGGCATGTTTCAGAAAAGTGGACTGGTACTTCCCGTTGGGTTATTTCTGCCTTTACTCCCAGGGGCTTCGGTAAGGCGACGGCCGAGCATAGAGAGGAGCTGAGAGAGCTGGGTTTTCCAGTGGATAAGGTTTGGGTTGATGGTGCGGATGTTTGCGCAGAACCAGGACCGGGGGAGGGAGCTGCTAAGGTGTGTATGGGTTCCGGTTTAGAGGACCTTGAGGAAGCGGATTGGGAAGTTGGGATTCCACAGCCGATTGAGGATGAAGCCGGGCGGGAGGCTTGGGTCCATTGGCATGGGTGTGTGTCCAGACTTTGTCGGCTTCTAGCGGGGGATTTATGCGAGAACCTACATGAACCTCAAGGGTTAGAGGAGACCGCTGAGCAGCTACGTTCCACCGAGGTTCTATGCGAATGGTTGGAGGGCTGTCTTGATGAGTGGACCTTGAATTCTGAGGTATCATTGAGGGCTCTTCAAGTAGAGGTACCATTGGCGGGTGAGTCTGTTCCTGATAAGTTCCTGCAAACTCGTACGGTTGGTCTTGTAGAAGCAAGATCGGAGCTAGGATTGTGGAAGGAACCTGCCTTAGAGGAAGTGACGAGCTTGGAGACTACGAATCAAGCTGTGGATAGGGTTAAAGCGGCGTTAGTGGATCAGTGGATTGAGCAGGGGTATACTGTGATTCAGTTGCCTGGTAAAGCAGTTCTCACGAGAAAGAGCGGAACAGGAAAACGCCGTTTTCGGGCTGTGTGTTGTGGAAACTACCTCCCTCCAGAGAAGCTGGGTCTGTCCAAGGATGATGTGTACGCTTCGGGGGTTGAGGCAGTGACTTTGCGGGTGGCCCTGTGTTTCGCGTCTATCTATTCAACCTGGACTGGGATTACGATAGACATTAAGTCAGCATTTCTGTATGCTCCTATAGGTACGCGATCTAAGGATCAGGAAGAGCGCATCATTGTGAAACCTCCGGCATTGTTGGTAGAGCTTGGAGTGCTTGAGGCCAGTGACCGATGGCACGTGCGCAAGGCGTTGTATGGCTTGCCAACGTCGCCTCGAGACTGGGGGGACTACCGGGATAAGGAGTTTAGGGCGCTTACTATCAGTTGTGAAGGGGTTACCTATGGGTTGTTTCAATCGAAGTCTGATGAATCCTTGTGGCTGGTTCAGCCTGTGGGGGAGCAGGGCAAGGGACCGATAGCGGGATTGTTGGTTGTGTATGTTGATGACTTGGCCTTCTTTGCCGCTGCGAATCTCTGCCAATGCTTCATCGACCGGGTGCAGAAGAAGTGGAAAACCTCTCCTCCCAGTTGGTTCGGTGAAGAGCCGGTGACTTTCTGTGGTGCTGAGGTGACCCGGTCGGCCCGAGGTTATCGGTTGACTCAGGTGTCCTATCTGAAGGAGCTACTGCATAGATACAATATTGAGGGTACGGCGGCATCGCCTATAACGAAGTGGACTGAGCCTCTAGAGCAAGGTGTTCCGGATGCCGGCTTGATTCGAGAAGCGCAGGGCATTACAGGAGCGCTCTTGTGGATTAGTACCAGAACAAGACCTGATATTGCCTACGCTGTTTCGCGGATGGGACAACAAGCGACGAAGGATCCAGAGTTGAGTATTTCCATTGGCAGGCAAGTGTTGCAGTACCTTGGCTCTACCTTGACTTTTGGGATCGAGTATTTGCATAAAGTGGGATCGTACTTTTCAGATCACGGTCAGTTGGCATTACCTCGGCAGAACAACGTCGTGGAGGTGTACTCTGATGCTTCTCACTCGCCGTGCGGTGGACGATCAGTGCAGTGTTGCATTATCGTATGGCGTGGTTCGCCACTGGCGTGGGAGAGCGCCAGGCAAGGGTTCACAACCCTTAGCTCTGCAGAAGCGGAGCTCGTGAGCATGATTCATTCTGTTCAGTTGGGTGAATGTATCCAACCGTTAGTGGAGGAGCTTCTTTCGGATGACAGCGTTCTCTCACTTCTTGCCGATAACGCCGCAGCTATACGATCCTTCGAAATGGCGCCAGCTGGCTGGCGTAACCGCCACTTAAGGATGAGGGCGCAGGCTGGCAGAGAGCGCATCGAGAATAATGTTTTGCGTGTCAATCATCTCGCAGGCTTGCACCAGGCGGCGGACATTGGTACGAAGCCGCTGGCTCGATCAAGGTTGCTATATCTGATGGACCTCATCAATGTGCGAGACCAGCCCGCCTCACCAGAAATGATGAAAGCAGCTCGGGTTCTAAGCCGTTCGTATGTAACGGGTCAACTCAGGGGAATTTCCCCGGAAGCCATTGCGGGTTTGGCCCTGTTGTGTATGTTACCTGGTGCTCGTGGGCAACCCATGGGTGATCACTCCCGGTTGGTTTCCGATTGGGTTTATTGGGTAGTAGCCATGTTGGTCACGGTGGGTTGCGTTTTGGTTGGGACCTGGTTTCGCAGCTTTGTGCCTTCGGAGGAGCCGCTAGAGACTGCGATTGTTGTTGCTGAGGGGGCTGGGAACCCAGATAATCCTGATGACGATTTCAGTCCTGAAGAATGGGCTTCAGCTGAAGCCAAGTTGATTGCTGCTGAGCGTTCTACGGGGCTCACGTTTGTGCAGAGGGCTAGGTTGAGGAAGCAACTGGCTAAAGGTGACTTGGTAGATCCTCCGGTGTTTCAGCAGCGACACGGACCATTACCGTACTGGCTTACAGGGCGCTCTGGAAGCAGTGGGGTTTGGACTGAAGTGCCAGAAAGGGGCTCAGGGTTGGTAGCCTTTTTGCTTAGGTTCGGAGCAACTCTTCTAGGGATGATTGGAGTGCCGCAGATAGAGTGGGGATGTTTGAGGATGGTTTGTAGGAGACTTCGGAGTTTGGCTACTGTGACTCTAGCTTCCCGTGTGCCTGGGAGACTGACAAGAGAGGGCGGGACGGGAGCTGGGGAAGGAAGGTCAGCGTCTTCGAATGTAGGAGAACCATCTGTTCCTTCCCCGCAGCCGTTTGGGATCCAGCAGGAGCCGGGACGGAGTTCTGAAGGGCCGTGCGACATGTCAGCAGGACGTGATGGGTGCCCAAGTCCTCTTGGTACCGGTGAAGTGCTGTCCAGTTCATCAGAAGAGCAGTCTAGATCGCCAAGTCCTCTGGGTGCCAGTGAAGTGCTGTCCAGTTCGTCAGAAGAGCAGTCTAGATCGCCAAGTCCTCTGGGTGCCAGTGAAGTGCCTTTCAGTCCAGCAGAAGAGCAGTCTAGATCGCCAAGTTCTCTGAGGGTTGAGCGGGATTTGGTTCAGGGTTCTAGTCTTCAGGAAGGCCCAGTTGCAGGGACGGATGTTCAGGTTGGGGGGAGTGCAAGTAGTCAGGACCAGTTTGAGATGCCGAGACCCAGGGTTCAGGTAGGAGGTAGTTCTGGTAGTCAAGGGCCTGCTCCTACCCCCAACGTGCAGCATGGTGACAGTTCCGGAAGTCACGGGATGACAGTAGCCCCAAGCGATGAGTTGTGTTATGAGGATTATTGTGGTGATGGGATGCTTACAGATCAGTTTCCGTATGTAGGATCTTGGTTGGTGACGCATTATTTAGTTCAACTGTTGTCGCAAACTGGAGAGACTATCCTCTGGACAGTTGGTGAGAGAGCGGGAGAGTGGAGATCTCTGCGTTGTGCATCGGCGGGATTGAGGTACGCGTTAGTGTTTGCCGTAGTAGAAGTTTTGAGACGCGGTCCCCAATCTCTCTTGTACAATGGTCCCCAGTGGGTGATGGCTACGGAGGAGTTCATTCTCACTGAACCACCATTAATTATGAGCTCAACTTCTGGAAGGCGGCCAGCAGGTCCCATAGGATTGGTAGCTAGGGGGGTTGTGTTTCCTTATGTTGAGGGTCCTCCGGGTATGATTGCGCATTTCCTGTGGCGGTTGCTGATGGAAGAAGGTTGGTTACTTTTAGAGCTGTTGGGTGATCGAACAGGGGCTTGGAGAGCCCTTCGTGCGGTTGCCCCAGGCTTTCGAGCAGGAGCCACTTTGGCTCTGACAGTGTGGCTTCGCAAGACGCGCCATTTTTACATGGCGAGCGCACAGGCTACCTATGATGCTGCAGATGCATATATGCAAGGTAGGGAGCTTCAGTATCCGTTCGTTGCAAGGGATCCCGAGGAGGCGGAACAGTTGAGCTCTGGGCACGAGGATGACGAGAGTGTTGACGATAGGCCGTTAAGACCTAGGACCGAGGATCCGGGTAGGGTTCGTTGGGGTCCGGTAGGGCAGGCTGTGTTGTTGGAGGACTCCTCCTCGGAATCCGAAGGCTCGGGAAGCTCAACGACGGAGCCGTCGGTAGTCGGTGTGAGTGCTGACTCCAGTTCTGAGCAATCTGAAGAGTGTCAGCCTGTGGAAGAGGGCACCCCCTTAGAAGGATTGAGGGTTGGGGGTTTGCCTAGGACTTCGTACCAGGCGGCAGAAGGGAAGTTGCTTGTGTTTTACGGGGATGATGAGCTTGAGGTCCCTCTTCCTGGCTGGTCGCAGTCCGCTGTGCAAGGTATTGTGACTGGTCTAGACGTTGGGGATTGGTCAGGGCTCGAGGCTGCCGTACAGGGTTTAGGGGAGGCGGTACCTAGTGTTGATGTAGATGCTCCCGCTGAGCCCGATCAGCTTGAGGCAGCTGAACCAGCCCCGGGACAGGGTTGGATAGGGAGCTGGCTGCGGATTGTAGTTACTCTCTGTCTGATTTCATGGATTGTTTTGAGGGGCATTCAGGGCGTTGGGGCTACCAAGGTGGAGGAGTGTGCTGTTGACCTTTTGGGACCCCGGGATAGTCAGGCCCAGGCCCGCTCTGATGCGAGGGATGATGTTGCCTTAAGCTGTGGGAGTAGTGCTTGCGATGGGTCTAGTCTATGGACGCTGTTTGTGAGCGCTGTGAGTGTTGGCATCTGGGAACTCAGCAAGTCTCTGGCCTTTAAGTGTTTCAAGAGGGCACACCAACGAGCTGATGCCGGTACGCAAACTTCGGAGCTGAATGTAGTTCCGATGCCTCTTGCAGAGGGCATACCTTCCCGGGCACGCATTCTGTACTCCTTCTGGCGTGCTGGATATGTGATCCAAGCTGAGCATTATTCGGAGAGGATTCAGAGGGAGTTTGAGACACTAGTTGGGGGTTGGCTGTGTAGGAATGAGGAAGGATTAGTGTCCCCGCAGTCTTCTTCCGATGGGGTCCTCTCTGAATCGTCCTCAGGAGACCAAGGCCGTCTCGAGTAAGATCAACCGGAATGAAAGGTCCAGAAAAGCCAAGAACAAGGGCTTTGAGCCGAAGGAAGAAGAACTTTAGGTTCTCTGGTCTAAACCAGTTTTTAGAACAACCAGTAGCGTTGTATGAACCTGCAGTTCCGTTTTCCTTCGTTAACGATGTGAAAGGGATGCTGGATGTCCGGCAACGATTATCCTCGAAGAGGACTCACGGAAGTGAGATCGGAATAGGACATGAATCAACCAGTTTTTGTCCCTGAAGGGGCGGACGAGTGTGAAACAGATGAGCCGGGCTCGGATGTTCTACCTACTATACAGTCTTGTTTTCCTGGCATACGATCCTGTTCGCCATATCTTGGAGATGTGGCGAAGGGGGAGTGCGTGTGTTCCGAGCCTGCTCCCGCACAGGAACCACTCGAAGAGCCCGACCGCGAGGCTGTTTTGGCTGAAGAAAAAAGGACCAAGGCCCGTGGAGGGTCGTTCTGGGGGTCGTTTAACTCCTAAGGTCTGGTTTACATCATTGTTTGGGTCTAAGATCACACGTATTTTGAACTAAAAAGACACAGGTTTTTGCTATTTTCATTGGCTTTCAATTGTAAAATAGCAGGAAACCAATGAGCTTTCCGCTATTTTCAATTGTTTGCTGTTGCAAATACCAAAAAAAACCATAGGTTTTGTCTTCTTTTTCCATGGTTTCCTATTGTAAATACCAAGGGAGCCGGCTGAGAGCACGGCAAAATATTGCTTGCTTGCAGCACCACCAAATGCATTATTCAGGCCTTCCTGACTAATAGAATAGTTTATGCTTCATAACAATACAATCCAAACTTCGCGGGCCCCCAGCTCCCGAGCGCGTGCCACCCATCCAAACTCCGCGGGCCCACAGCTCCCGAGCCGCGTGCCACCCATCCAAACTCCCCTGCCCCCAGCTCCCGACCCCGCGTGCCACCCATCCAAACTCCGCGGGCCCCCAGCTCCGAGCTCCCGAGCCGCGTGCCACCCATCCCGCCAGGCGCGTTCCCTTTTCTTTTGAGGAGAGGACCCCTTAACAGTTCCTGTTTGGGGAATAATAAAATTGTGCGAAGCAGCCCAAGAAGGCAAGGAAGAAAGATATGGTGCTGGCCCAGAAGGCCCGCATGTGCGGATTCTGCTGCACGGTGCCGCAAACCCTCAAGAGCGGCAGCTCCGTGGCCTTCTTGCTGGAATCCACTGCCAGCTTGTACTCCATGGTTGTACAAAGCGGGATGACAGTACTCTCTTTCTTGGAGGCTAAAGCTCGAGCACCAATAACTTGCGCCAGACAACCCTAAACCCTAAACCAGACAGTGCGAGAGATTCCAGCTTCGGCTTAGGACCCCAAAGCGATGCATTATAGTATACCTGGACCCTAAGGAACCTGCCTTTTTAGGGTTCCCTAATATGATTTCTTTATATAAGTCCTTAAAAATGTAGGTTACTTGGGGTTAAGGTAGTGATATGGAGCCTCCGAAAATGGGGGACCCGGATATAGTGGCCGAAAGAGAAAGATCCTTATCATAGGACCCCAAAATACGGTAGCCCTAATTTTTCGGAAACTCCCAAGTCCCTTATAGATCCCTTTAACGGAACCCTTATAGTACCCCTTTAAAGGAATGAGGAACCCTACAGGAGGAACGGCCTGCTCCATCAGCTTGGCCCCCTTGAGCTCGATCTGGCAGTGGCTTGGACTTCACCAGGATGGGAGAGCGTTTCGGTCTTGGGGTTAGGGCTTAGGGCTGAGGGCTTAGGGCTGAGGTTTAGGGTTTAGGACTTAGGGGGTTAGGGCTTAGGAGTTCAAGGTTTAGGGTCTAGGGGGTTAGAGGTTTAAGACCAGGGAAGTCTCGATGCATTGATAGTTTGCAGACGACTGAGAGATCCCAATACCCCTTCCTTAAGGAATATACCTTAACCCCAAGCAACCTACCTTTTTAAGGACTTATATAACGACTCATATTGGGGAACCCCAAGAAGGTAGGTTCTCCAGGTATACCTTAAGCCATAATATTAAGGCCCTATGATTTAAGGTATATTCCGTAATTCAGGGATCTGTGAGTTGCAAGAGAACCACTGCACGTGCCTCACGCGGCCCAGCCAAGATCGTGGTGTCCAGAGACATCTTCAGCTTGATTCTCTCCTACTTAGAGGATCATGGGACATATTTAGGTTATAACCCCAGCTAAGGTACTCATAACCTTACGTACTAATTCCCATGATCCTCCAAGTACCGCACTCTATCAAACTCCTGACGCAAAAACGCACGGGCTGCGGGGATTCACCCTAAGACAGCTGTACGAAACTCTTTGCGTCTGCGAAACTAGAACCCTGAAACAACCCATGAAAGGTCCATACAAACATTCGGCAAACCCATGCGAAGCAAAGCAATTTACGGACAACCCCATGGTTCTAGTAGTAATAGTAGCAGTAATAGCAGTAGCTGTAGCTCTAGTGTAGTCCAAGCGGTTTCGAAGGCTAAAAGCTGCTTATCTCGTCTGGTAGCGCTAAGCTTACCCTGACGCTCCCATATGCTCTTATGACGGTTCGCCGCAAGAAGTAGAATCTGTAGACTATTCTTACAATAACCCTTATAGTAGCTCTTACAGACTCCTTTCAAGGAACGCTATTAAAATTATATAGGCCCCTAAACCGAAACCCTATTCCGGAGGTGAAGGTGGCTCCTTGATGCCTGCGTTCACCGCCGCGAAAGCAGCGTCCCCGCAGTGCTTCTCGAGGGCCTTTGGCTCTAAGGTCGGTTTCGGGTGCTGTAAGGGTTACTTTAAGGGATCTACAGGGTGTAGGGTTCAGGGTGAAAGGGCTCTAGGGCTCTAGGGCTATAGGGCTATAGGGGTATAGGGGTATAGGGTTTAGGGTTCAGGCTTTGGGGCATCGGGGTGAAAGCGCATATCAGGAAATCAAGAATCGCTGTGTATGTACAAGAAAAGTGCTTGTTCCATCTACAGCTATGCTTAGTTACTAGAGACCCTCTTAGAGTGCATATAGTACCCGAGCCTCCCAGTTATGTCGGCTTGCTCATAAACCTCGAACCTTGGAGAAGAAGGCCAAAGCGTACAGTGAAAAAAACATCCTGACAAGGCTCATGTAGGGTTGAAGTTCAGGGTTTGGGTCACAATGCTACAAGCAAGCTTGTAATAACCCAGTCCCTTGACCCTTCCAATGAGATCGGCATTATGCCAAAAATCATGTTAAGAGTTCTGGGATACCCGGTAACCTAAGAATAAAAAGGCCTCTCTTTTTGGTATTGGGTAACTTTATAAGGAACCTAGGACTACAAAAAGGGAATAAGGGTACTAGTGGGCATCCTAGAGTTTCATGGTCTGACAAGGGCTTCACGCGCCAGAAAGGCTCCTTCATTCAGCAAAACTTGTCGTACTTGGAGGTTCATGGGTAGTTGTAAGCGGGGGGTGTAACCAAGGTACCTACAATTTAACCCATGGGGACTTATGACCCCACTTATAGCTACACATGAACCTCCAAGTAATTTTCAGGAAACGTTAAAAGGAACCCTGAGAAAGAGCCCTTAAACGGAAGAGTTTCCCAAAATTAGGGTACCTAATTTTAGGTCCTCAAAATAGGGATTCTACTATTTAGGGTCCCCGTATGTTCGGAAACTCCCCGAAAAGGTGAGGTCTATTCCTCCTGGGTTCTCTAAGAACTGGGACTCTGGCCGCTTGGTCGCCCTCCAGATAGGACCGGATGATGCGCGGAGCCACGATGTACTCCATGTCCTTGAGTCTCGGGTGTAGGGTTTACTTGGAGGGTCGGGGGACTTAGTAGGTAGGTAGTAAGTAGACTTGTAAGTACCCTAAAAGGGACCCTAATTGGGGTTATGGTACTTATAAGTCCCTAAAATAACCAGTTACTAAGTCCCCCGACCCTCCAAGTAGAGTCCTCCGGGTTTAGGGTTTATCAACGGTTGGAACCATGGGCCCCTTGTATGGGCCCTCAATACCTACTATATACCCTATATTGCCTCTTAAGGGTGCCCAGAACTCCCTCAAAAAGGCCTAAGGATCCATGTTAGGGGCCCTCACTTCGAGTTTTGGGATTGCCGTGGAAGAGCACATTGGCGAAACTATCTGGGAGTTTCCGAAAATGAGGGGTACCTTATTTGGGGTCCTTGTAATAAGGATCCTATTATTTAGGGTACTAAACCTATTTGCGGAAACTCCCGTCTGGCCACAGCGCTTTTTTGAGTCTCCGTTGCTCCAGTGCCGGGCCCGAGGTGTCGTGGGGAGGCTGGGTCGGTTTAGGGGTTTAGGGGTTTCGGGGTTTGGGGGTTTAGGGGCTGAGCGCCATCCAGGTCGAGGAGCTTAAGTGCCGCCCACCCGAGGGTTTCGGAAGCCCAAAATCCCTGACCACACAAGCCAAAACTCCCCAACCCAAAACCCCGAACCCAGCACTCTAAACCTCCCAGCCACAAACAGCCAAACCCAACAGCTAAACCCATACAAATTGAATAGAACGCTTGTTGTCCCTAAACCCTAAACCCTCCTTCTCACCCGCAATGAACACACAACCCGTAAACCCAGGCCAAAGCATGACGAGGGACCTCTGCAAACTCCTCGAGACGGAAGGAGTAGTCCAGCTCCTGGCCACCATGATGGCGCTAGTCCCCGAGAACCCAACACCTCTTAATTAAGGAATATACTTTAAGTCATAATATTTGAGCCTCCGATGATTTGAAGTATAATCCTTAATTCAGGGGTATCGGGACCTTTGGGGGATGTAGGGTTTACGGACTGGCTTTCTGGCTTTCTGGCTTTCATGCTGAAGAGTCGATGTCGACGCAGCGCCAAACAACTGTACAGGTAAAAGCATCCAAAAACATGCAGTGTCAGATAATCAAGATGCCTGCTCCTCGATAGCAGCTGCTGCGTCCAGCCACTGTTCGATCGCAGGGGACACCCACTTGTCTTTCCAAGCGTGTCGAGCCGCAGGATCATCTAGAAGTGCACTAGCGATCTCCCCTACGGATT